GTCATACCTCTCTGACCCGTCTTCCCCATGTGACGTTTGTGTAACGTTGTGTATGTATGGTCGGAAGGTTAAGACGGCGCTGGCAAGGCTGGCAGCCTTAACCCAATTTCCCTCGGGATGAATAAAGTATGATCAATCAATCAAAACCAACGAGCAATCTGCATTGTGAGACGCAGTGAGTTTTTTCTCCTCTGATGTGCTGCTGCTTCACAACGCTCCCTCCAATCCCAAGTTATTTCTGCTGCAGGCTACCAACCGCCCGAAAAAGTGACAGACTCAATAAATCAAAAACAAGAGAGAATTTAATTCTGTCTCCTTTCCAGAGAAAAACAATCAGCGTGAGGCACCGATCAGTTGGTAACTCCCGTGTTGTGCAGGGATGAAGGCTGCAGTGAGAACGGGCCAATTAGACGTAGATTATCCACAAGTCCTACATCCGAACAGTAACAGGCGCACACACACACACGCACGCACACACGCACGCACGCACGCACGCACACACGCACACACACACACAGGGCAGTGATGCATCATGCTGACAACACTGTGAGTCTCCTCACTGCAGTGACCGCTGGGAGTGAACACTACAGCTGAGTTATGCTTGATAGATGAAGTGGCTACAACGCTGACAGATAAGATCCCTGATGTTCCTCTGACCCGCTTCCACTCAAAGACTTTTATTATTTTAAGAGCATTTCTACTTTATTACTTCGTTTGACTGGACACGAGAGAGACCGCAGAGCAGCAAAGATCCTCAGACGGACCTTTGAACCGATCCAGTTACACAATCAGTGTCGTTACCTCAGAGACAATCGTTACATGTCACATGTTTGTAACGTACACGTTGCATATAAATTTTTTAAAGATCGAAATATTTTGTGTAGCTTGTTTCACATGTAGACAGAGTGCAGATGCCAAACACCAGGGGGCGCTGCTGGGCGAGGTTAATCAATCAGATGGTCGATTGTTTGGATATCACTGCTGCTATTTAAAAAAGAAAAAGAAAGGAAAACATGACACGCTTTACAGGCCGCCCACGAATCAATCACCCAGTCACTTAATCAATAAAGCAGTAAATTAATCATTCTGCTGTTTGTAATGAAGAGAAAAAATACATCGAC